TGTGAAGACCCAGGCCCCACCCACAAAGGGTGGTCACACATTTGCTAAAGCCTCTGTTTGTTGGCCTGATGCTGCAGTCATGAATTTAAGACCCACTACTCACTGTGTGTTCTTGGCAAGTTGCTTCACCTCTCTGGGCTTCTGTTATTTCATCTGAAAAATGGGGCTAATTTCCAGAGTAGTGTGAGGATGAAATGCAAGCACAGAGGTAAGGCTCCTGGAACAGAGGCCACACTGCATCTCCATCTCCAGGCCTCCCTAGAAATTGGGCTCCATCTGCCTTTCCAGATTCTTCTCCCACCCAGGGGTAACCCTGTGTGTTCCCAGGCTCTGGTCACCTGTAGGATCTCACCCCCATCTCGACTGCACCAATCCTTCCTTCTCTAGAGGCTGAGCTCCAACACCACCTCCTCCTGGCAGCCTGCCCAGATTCTCCCTACCCCCAAACCAAATGTGGTATCCCATTCTCTTTCCTCCACTCTCAGCACTTGGTGTCTGTTTTAAGGTGCCTTCCTTTATGTATATGAGAATCCCTCCTTTTCTGGGGGCAGAGATCCTACCCTGTTCCCCTTGGCCTTACTCCTAGGTATCATCAAAAAAAAAAAAAGTCTTGCCCAAAGTGTGTAGATGTAGATTAATTTCATTGGCTCGCTAATAAGAATATCTGGGTGACCTGCCCCCATTTGCAGCCTTTCTGTATATCTAAGTCGCAGAAACCACTTTAGGAAAGAGATACCATGTGTTTCATTAATTTCACGGCACACCATTTCCCCCCCATTTTAACCTCTCTGAAATGGACTGTATCTTCCAATGAATGGGCAATGAATACTTTTTTAAAAAAATATTTTATTTATTTATTTGAGAGAGAGAGAGAGAGCACAAGTTGGTGGGGGGGGGAGTGACCTGAGCCTAAGGCAGACACTTAACTGACTGAGCCACCCAGGCACCCCGAATATTCTTTTTTTTTTTTTTAAGATTTTTATTTATTTTATTTGACAGGGAGAAGCAGCAGAGGGAGAGGGAGAAGCAGGCTCCCCCCTGAGCAGGGAGCCCGATGCGGGACTCGATCCCAGGACCCTGGGACTATGACCTGGGCCGAAGGCAGACACTTAACCAACTGAGCCACCCAGGCGCCCCTCAAGTATTCTTTGTTAATGATGTGTGAATTAATGCTAGCTTTCCATCAACACCACCTTAGGTTTGATGAAATAAGGTATTTTCCCCACGTTGTAGCTGAGAAATTATAGGCACACGAGGGTCAGCCACTCATTCAAAGCACAGAGCTCTCACGTAGAAGCGCCAGGCTCTAAACTCGGGCAGCATGATGGTTTAAATACAAATCTGGGGCATCTGGGTGGCTCAGTTGTTTAAGCGTCCAACTCTTGATTTCGGCTTGGATTGTGATCTCAGGGTCTTGGGACGGAGTCCTCTGTGCTCAATGGGGAGTCTGCTTGGGGATTTCTCTCCCTCTGCCCCTCCCCCTGCTCATGCTTGCTTGGGCATGTGCATGCAAACACACACACACACACACTCTCTCTCAAGTAAATAAATAAATATTTTTAAAATAATAAATAAGAAATTTTAAAAAATAACAAGGTGGGGGGCGCCTGGGTGGCTCAGATGGTTAAGCGTCTGCCTTCGGCTCAGGTCATGATCCCAGGGTCCTGGGATCGAGTCCCGCATCGGGCTCCCTGCTCCTTGGGAGCCTGCTTCTCCCTCTGCCTCTCTCTCTCTCTCTCTGTCTCTCATGAATAAATAAATAAAATCTTTAGAAAAAAAAAATAATAACAAGGGGTGCCTGGGTGGCTCAGTCAGTTAAGCGTCTGCCTTCAGCTCAGGTCATGATCCCAGGGTCCTGGGATGGAGCCCCACATCGGACCCCCTGCTTAGTGGGGAGTCTGCTTCACCCTCTCCTTCTGCACCGCCTCCTGCTTGTTCTCTCTCTCAAATAAATAAATAAAATCTTAAAAATAATAATAATAATAAAATCCTGGTCTGTGGGTAAGCACCTCCATGATGACCCCCAATGATCCCACCTCCTGGTGTTCAAGCCCTGTGGGGATCTCTCCCTGGAGTGGGGACTAGACCTGGTGACTCCCCTAGAAGGAACAGAAAACGGCAAAAGCAATGGGAGGTCACTTCTGAGACTGAGTTCCCTGAAGACTCTGGCTTCTGCCTGCCCACCATCTCTTGCCCTCTCACTTGCTGGCTCCAACTGAAGCCAGCCGCCATGATGTGAGCTGCCCTTGGGAGAGGCCCATGTGGCAACAGCCAACAACCAACAAGAAACTGAGGCTCTCCACCTGCAAGGGACTGAGTCCTACCAACAGCCATCCGAGTGACCTTAGAAGCAGATTCCCCCCACCTGAAGCTTGCGATGGCTGCAGGCCCCTGATTGGAGCCTGTGAGGGACTTTGAACCAGAGGCCCCGCTCGGCCAGGCCTGGATTCCTGCCCCACGGAAACTGTGAGGTGGTACATGAATGTTGCCTTAAGCCACTAAGTTTTGGGGTAATTTTTTTAGCCAGCAATAGACAATGAATAGTCTCCAATATTTAAGACAGAGTATTTACTACATTGTGTTCTGGGAACACAGAGATGAAAAGCCTTCAAGAGACACCTAGTGTCGGGGGGCGGAGGGGAGGCATACATGTGTGACTGTGATGAAGGGTAATTGGGAGGCAGGCAGGCAGGGACTGGAAGGCAGGCAGGCAGGGACAAGCCCCCCACCCCCCAACCTCCACCCTAAGAGGAAACCACCCTTAAAAGGATTTTACACTGCCCTGGAAGGAGCCCTCCACCCTTTCCCATATGATAGATAGGTGACAAAAACCTGATTGGATGACAGGCGCAGGGAGGGTTCATCCGATGAAAATAGCCCGCCAACAAGCCCGTAAAAACTCCTAGACTTAGAAACTCCGGGGGCAACCCCTTCGGGTCCCTTCCCTCCTTAGGAGCTTTGTACTATCACTTTTGCTATCACTCAATAAACCTTGCTTTGCTGCCCACCACTCTGTCTGGTCTACCTCTTCATTCTTCGAAGTGGCGTGACCAAGAACCGCGGGCACCAACGGAGAAAAAAAACATCCAGCAACAATTGCTGTGTTTAAACTGTGTTTATGGGGGTGGGACTGGAGGGGAGCTGCCTCCCTCACCCGTGCAGAGGGGACTTCAGGGGAGGTTATCACCGAGCACAGCAGCTTCTGGAGAAGGCAAGAGCTTCCCAGCTGACCAAGGCAAGGAGGCCGCAGGGAGGGAAGGAAGAGAACACACATCTCCTTGTCCTCCGTGGATCTGGGAAGTTGTAAGATTACACACTTGGCGGGAGGGAATCGGGCAGCTATATGCTTGACACAAGAGTCAGTGATTCACCCCAGCACATCCCAGAAGTCTGAGTCAGCAAACTCTTCCCGGACCAGGTTTCAGTGAGAGTGTGGGTTTGAGCCCACTGTGCGGGGGCAAAGGTGCTGACGCCCTCAGGCCCTGCTGCCTTTCAACCAGGACCAGGGTTGGCCTGTGGGTTGGACAGTAGAGGTGTGGTCAGGGTTGGAGTGAAGAGGCCTGCCTGCAGGTCACAGTCCAACTTTGGGACAGGCTGGGGCAGAGGATCAGGCCCTTCTTCTCCATGCTCCTCTTCACACCGGCCCTGCCTTAGCTTCTCTGGCTGCGAGATGAGCCTGGAGGATATGACAAGACCCTTCACCCAGGGAAGCCCTAGCAACCCCGAGAGAGAGAGGAAAGAGAGCCAGGCCAGGCCTAGGGAGAGGTCAGGGATGAGCCGAGAGTTGCAGCCCGCATGTCCCTGACCCCAGACAGGGGTCACAGAGGAGGACGCCCGGCTCTGGGTCCTACCTCAGCCACCAGAGCAGGGGAGTACAGTGATCCGCAGCGTGGGTTCTGACCAAGGAGCGAGTCCCAGCTCCGCCACTTACTGGACATGCCCTCATGCCAAGTGCTTCATCTCTGAGCCTCTGTTTCCCCATCTAGAAAATGGGGATGACAATGCCCACCTCATAGGACTATCATGAGGTTGAAAGAGCTGCTGCTGACCGTCTTGCTCTTCCACATTCATGATTTCATTGGATTTTCACAGCGACCCGTTTTGCGGCTGACAAGACTGAGCAAGAAGGGGAAGGGATTCGTCTCAGCTAATGAATAATGTCCAGTTGCAGTAGAATATCCAGAAACGTAAAATTTAGCCATGTAGCCATTTTTATGTGTAATTCAGTAGCGTTAACATATATTCACGGTGTTGTTCAACCAATCTCCGGAACGTTGTCACCTTGCAGGACTGAAGGGCTATGGCCGTTCCTCCCCAGCCCCTCAACCACCGCGCTACCTTCTGTCTCTGTGAGTCTGACTATTCTAGGCTGCAGCCGTCCTGTTTCTTTCTTTCTTTTTTAATTTAACAAAGTTTTCTTTTTCAGGATGTACCGTTGGTGGGATCTGTGAGCGCATCCTCACCAGCAGCGGGGGCATCTCCACCCTTAGTGTTACTGGTGTAAATGACTCGAGCTCTGGGCTTCGAAACTAGTTTAACAAGTCCTTTACTAAGGAGATCCTGAAGGGCTGCCCTGGCCAGGGGACCTCAAATCTTCTCTCAGAGACAACAGCTGGGGTTCTACGCTTAGAGAACTTTTTTTTTTTTTTAGATTTCATTTATTTATTTGACAGAGAGAGGGGGAACAAACAGGGGAAGCAGCAGGCAGAGGGAGAGGGAGAAGCAGGCTCCCCCCTGAGCAGGGAGCCCGATG